ATTGCTGAAAGAAATCATGAACCAAAACACAAAACTCATTTCCATCAGGTTGATTCTGATTCATAGTGAGCCCATAAGATGGAACAGAACTGCCCCTTTTGGTTTCAGAGACTTTAATTTTTACTGGAGTAGACAATCTCGTCATTCTCCTTCAGAGTAACTGATGGCTTTGAAGTACTGGCTGTGTGGTTTTCAGTTCAATGTGTAGCCCACTACACCATCACATCCTATCTTATGGATTAGAAGAATTAATATGCCAATATCACTCAAAGTGACTACATATTCAACAAAATCACCAATACAATTCCAGCAATTTTTCTGCAGAAGTAAAAATAATAAACAACCTAATTTTCAAATTCACATGAGAATGTAAGGGGGCTGCATCTAACCAACCCAATCTTGAAGGAAAAGAAAGTTGGGAGATTGAAAATTGTCATCTGTCCTCTCATTTTACTCATTTGAAATTTGTTCTAGTTTTTAATATTTTCTATTTTCTATATTTGACGTGTCTCTCTTTTATTTTGTTGTTGCTGGGTTTTGTTTGTTTGTTTGTGTTTTGTTTTTGTATGCTTTTCTTTATATGACATACAGGACAGGTAAATCTATGGAGATAATAACTCAATTAATAGCTTCTTAGGGCTATGGCAAAGGACATTGACAGGCGATGGGGAACTAATAGTAGTGAGCACAAGAATGAAAAAAATGTCTTAAAGTTGATTGTGGTGATGTGGTGATGATTGCACAACTTTTTTTTAAGCCATCGAATTGTGTAATATGTGAATGACATGTCAATAAAACTGTTAACATTTAAAACTTTTCCCAAGTAGTAAACTTACTACAAATATAATAATAATCCGTGTGGTGTATGCATATAGTGCATTTATATATACATAATAAAATTGAAAGTGATTAAATAAATCCATAATTTTATTGACAATAGATTTTTAAGACAGATGTTGATTTCATTCAATCAGAAAAAAGCAGACTCTTCAAAGGTGGTGCTTAGAAAATGAAAATTCACATGCAAAAAATGAAGGAGAAATCATACCTCACATTGTGAATACAATTAAACTCAAATGGGCCAGGAACCTAACTGTGACCTAAAACTAGAAAATTATTGATGAAAATATACAGGTCAATCTCGTTAACACTAAATTTATAAATGGATTCTTTGATGTGACAAGATGTGCAACAACAAAAAATATTTAAATTGGACTTCAACAAAAATTGAAAATTTTTGTCAAAGAACATTGTCAAGAAAGTGGAATGTTAATTTACACAATAGGAAAAATATTTGGAAATAAGGATTTAATACCTAAGTATATAAGAATGCTTAAAACAAAGCAGCTGAAAGGCAAACATATCCTCTATAATTAAATGTATAGAGACCAACATTTATTGGTGGTTTCTTGTGATGGGCAGCAGGTTAGGGAAAGGAAGATTCAGTAACACTCAACGTAACTATATATTCAACTCACACACTAACAAAAATTCCAGCAGCTTTTTCTGCAGAATTATGTGCAGAAACATTCATGAAACTTGGTAAATACTAAATTTATTTAAAGGATGATGGAAACATTTGATAAGAACAATGATAAGCATAAGATGATATTAGTGATCTATATATTTCAAGAATGTTGAAATTGCAAAAATCTTTCTACATGTGGATGTTTTAAAAAAGGAAAACAAAGCAATTAAAAAACTTTCAAAGAACTTGAATAATCATTTTTACATAAAAATATGCAAACAGGCCATATGCACATGAAAAAAGCATCTCATTAACCAAATTATATTCATCAAAATCACAGTGTGCTATCAAATAACAGCCACTAGTGTGTACGTTATTGGATTAAACAGAAACTAAGTGACTCTGAGGGTGTAAAACTTTGGATTCCTCACCTGAGTTAGTCAGTTTATTGTGCCAACCTGGCTGATAAACACGTGTGGGGTTAATTGAAGGGTGGAGGGATAAATGGCTTGGTGAGCCTCGCCTTTCTAGTTCTTGGGTCTCTCTTTCTGATGGTCGGACCAGGGTGCCGCTGCCTTAGCCAGTTCCCTGCTTTAGCTTGCAAGACTCACTTCCTGCAAGACATCACTGAGGAGAAGCCACATGGACCTACCCCAATGCAGCCCTAGGTGCTGGAGCAGCTATATGGAGACCCCTGCCAGTGCTGAGATGCTTACACATTCACTGACTCAACTTTCCTCCTGCAGTCGGCATCATTGTGTCTCTTTTGTGAAATGGAGGAAAACTTTATAGATTTGTGTCAGACATATGGGTTAATGGGCTAATGTTGGACCTGTGGGCTTGGGCAGCACTGGGTTGGGATGTTTTCTTGATGTGCACTTAACCTTTATATAAAGCTCTCCCTTATACATGAGTTTCTGTGTATTTGTTTCTCTAAAGTACCCACGCTAACACACTCACCTGTTGCTGGTAATGGTGAATGAGTGCAGCACTGTGGAAACTAGTTTAACTCTTTCTCAAGAAATTGAATACAAACCTAGTACTTGATCCTGAAATTCTACTTCTAGATGTCCAAAAGAATTGAAAGAAAATATAGCAACATATTTTTGTATACCATGTTCATCGCAGTATTTTAAAAATAGTTAACAGTAGGGCCATGTGAGTATTCATAAACAGATGAGTGGATAGACAAAATATGTGATACATATAAAATTAAATATTAATCAGGTGTAAAATGAAATTTGAGTACATGCTATTACATAGATAAACCTTAAAAACATTATTCTAAATGAAATCATCATATACAAAGTGAAACATATTACATTATTCTTCTCAACTGAAATACCTAGAAAAGACAAATTTATAGTTAGAAGTTAGAATAGAGAGTACCAAAGGCTGGTAGGAGAGTATAATCAGGAGTTATTACTGATTGACTATAGAGTTCAATGTTCTGGGTAATAAAATCTTTGAGCAATAGATAGTTATGATGGTTATACAACATGATGAATTCAATATAAAAAATGATACAGATGGCAATTTTTAGTTATACAAACTTTATAATCACATATATTTTTACATGATTGTATGTGTCCTAAATAGGTATTTAAGAAATCAGGTGAACTTAAAATGTTATAAAATAACTTATGCAACTAAACAAGAAATCCTTGAGAACAAATGTGCTGGCTCTGTCATTTGTTAGCCAAATCTTCTGTAAACACTAACATTTGTGTGATATTGAAAATAGTAGTATCCAATATGTGTTTCATTTTATCTTCTAATTTTGGAGTCAGTGATTTTTCAGGGTGTGCAATGATTGTGCATCTCCGTGCTCTGTTATTCTCCCCAATGCTATTTATGAAAAACTCAGATAAAATCTATTGTAACAACACGAATCACATTTTCTGCTAGTTATCAGAAGACCTATCCAACTGCCTGGAGTTTTCTTAGGGCCCCCCCCACTTCCTTGTTCCTCAGACTGTAGATCACGGGGTTCAACATAGGGGTGAGGATATTGTAGAACAAGGACACAATCTGACTTAGCTCCACTGAGTACATGGTTGGAGGCACCATGAGGAAAAAGATGCCTGAACCTAGATAGAGACTTACCACTGTGAGATGGGAGGAGCAGGTAGCCAGGGCCTTTTTCTTCCCCTTCTGAGATTTCATACGGAAGACAGTCAAGAAAATGAGGCTGTAGGAGGCCAGAATGAGGCCAAAGGGAATGAGGATGAACACTACTCCTGTGACAAACAAAATCATTTCATACACAGTGGTGTCATCACAGGAGAGTCTCAAGGTAGCTAAGAGTTCACAGAAGAAGTGCTGAATCTCCCTAGAGTCACAGACTGGTAAATGCATCACATACACTGTGTGGACTAAGGAATGTAGAAACCCTACTACCCAGGACAAAGCAGCCATCTGTAAGCAGACTCTGGGGTTCATGATGACTGAGTACCTCAGTGGGTTGCAGACAGCAGCATAGCGATCATACGACATCAGAGTCAAGAAGATACACTCAGAACCTGTTACAGTTATGTAAAATAGCATCTGTATTCCACAGCCTACCTGTGAGATATTTTTCCTGTTCACCCAGAAATCAGTGACCATCTTAGGAACAGTGGTGGATATGAGAACTAAGTCCATGACAGAAAGTTGGCTGATAAGAAAGTACATGGGAATGTGGAGTCGAGAATCCACCCAAATTAGTAGGATCAAGGTGGTATTTCCAAAGAGGGTGAGGATGTAACTCAGGAAAATGATGTAGATGAAGTAGCTAATATTTCCCATATTAGGAAATAGTCCCAGGAAAATGAGGTCTGTGGCTGATGTGTCATTTCCTCTTCTCATGTCTATGTTAGTGTTGGGTTATTCTGAGGAAACCTAATTAGAATGTGAAGGATGAAAATTTATCCTCTTTTTTTTTTTTTTAAAGAATTCTTTACACCAATGTTAATTATAGCACTTTCAACAATATTCTTCTTAGATTTGTTGACAGATAGCCATTTCATTTCTATCCCTTAAGCCCAAGTATAAACAGTGTAATGCCTATCCTTAATGCTTACGTAGGATGGTACATTGGAAACTCAATTATTAGAGTCAAATAAGCCAAGTCAAGCTCATTGTGCTTGATAGACATACTTCTTATGTTGTCTCGAGAAAATTACTTAATTTCTCTAAGCCTCAGTTTTGTAATCTTTTGTGGCAATGCAATATTCACATCCATTGCTTTCAACACACAACTGTATCTACAAAGTCAAAACAAATTTCCTTCATCTTTCTCCCAAACCACTGTAATACTTTCATGATAAGAGTAACCTATTTTTTGGCCATTGTTACAGTTTAATCTATTCTTTAAAGTAGGAAAAAATTTTACTCACCCTTAATTGATCAAAGAGGTCATGTGGAATGCTTTCTTCAGTGTCATATATGCTTAATTGATATTTCCATAACATAGCTTGTAAAGGTCTACTATTATTAGAGAAATTTAATAAATAATAATTTTGAAATATTAAAAGTTATTTTGGTTTATTCTATAGTTAAATACAATTATTTTATTACACTAGCAAATGCATTCATTACATATCTTATCTTTTCTACATTTGTTCAATTGATGCTGTGAAATTCCTCATGTTTACAACTGTTAAAAAACATAAATATACTAATTTACTAAACAAAATGACTATCCTTATGGCATGTATTAATTCAGTGCTAACTAAAAATTAATAAAATATGAATAATTTAACTTGAAGTTTCCAATAAAAACAAGCAAAATATTGTTTTTGCTCTATGAACATATTACCATATGATATTCTCATGTCCAGTTACTTTTTCTTTGATGTAGACTGTCTTCTGGCTTACATCTAGTATATGGTATGAATTGTTAACTTACTTGTGTAGAATGTACTATATTTAATCTTTCTTCTGTCAAGTGAAAAATGAAGGTTAAATACTACTTTGCAGCAGAAACCAAAGGGTCAATGGAATATTGGGTATGACTTAAGGGAATGTGGTCCCTTGACTTTAATTAATTTGAATTTCAGCATGAATAATGATAGCTTTGTTTTTTACTAAAGACTTTAGTAATATTTTCCAACTCCTTTCTTTAAGAAACATGTTTATTTTCCCCATGTGATTGCTTGACTCATTTACCACACTCTTCTTTTCTCACCTTTTAACCCAAAACTTTCCCTTTGTAAGAATTAAAAATATGTAGGGTTCTTCTCATAAATCTCCTTTCATTATTACAGTGTATTAGTGCACATATTTTATTTTGATGTTAATTTTAAAAAACCAATAAGCTTCAGGATCCAGTGTGTACATGTGTTTGTGTGTGTGTATATAAACATCAATAATCTACACTGATTTGGAAATGGAAACGAGTAGCCTGCTCCCATTGGAATGTTTGGTGATTTTAGATTGAATAATACATTTATGTTTTTAATTTTTTATTGTGAACTAGGTGAAAGTTTTGCAGATCTGTGTTCCATTTAACAATTCATATACATTTTTTGTTTTATATCATTGATTGTAATCCTCACATTGTATTACCACTTATACCAATTCCTTCCTATATTTCTCATTTCCATTCTTCCTTCTTTCCTGGTGTTTTGTTCTTATCTAAAATATATCCTTGTGTAAATCCTGCACTTTTCATCTTAAATCATTGATTATTTTTGGGTGTCCATACAGCCATAGTCTTATTGTTCCCCTGAAACACTCTCCTTGCCGTTGAGTCAATGTTTTCTCATAGTGACTCCCTGTGGGGTTTTGAGCCTAACTGAGAGTAGAAAGCCCAGTCTTGGACCCACAGAGCTGCTGGTGGTTTCGAACTACCAATCATGAGGATCACAGCCCAACATGTAGCACTACACCACCAGGGCTCTTATTGCTCCCCTTACAGACCTGTATATTGTTTGGCTGAATTTTGAGTTAAGGGCATACGTTCAGTTTTAGACATGAAGAAAGACTAAGGAACATAGTCGGAGCTGAGGAAGAGGGTGGGATGTCTACTAGTCTCTATGACTAGTAAGTCTGTTCCTTTTTATTATTTTAGATTTTGTTTCACATTATTTATCCCGCTCTACCCAGAACATTCAGAACATTTGGGAATGGTAGCAAGGCAACATCAAGTTCTCCTGGCAGTGTTGTGGAGATTAGTGTTTGCATGGTCCGTTAGTCTATTGGACTAATTTGTTTAATGAATTTTTAATTTCTTAAATTCTTCTCTCTTCTATACAGGGCGAGACCAAGAATTGCAGCTTAGATGGCTGCTCACACCAAAGTAGGACGTAAAGCATGTCTTTGTGGACTTTATGGTCTGACAACTGACCTTTGTGTTCCTGAAACCATGAGCCCAAGGCCATATTCCTGGATATATTTGCAGCAAAATGAAATACACATAGACCAATATCATCTGCCAAGCCTAAAATAGATTCTTGGATGTACTTCCTCTCTCTTTCCCACACCTATTCAGCATGAATGTTTGTCACATTAACTTGTATGTCACCATTACTGTAGGTTTGGGTATATAGCAGGTTTACCTTTGTTGTCTTTAACTCTTGCCTTCCTTCTGGTATTATTCCCTGGCTCGATCATTTTTTGCTAACCTGTCTCTTATGGCATATTGCCTTCCCCGTTCATCCTGTAAATGTTGTTATTCATCCTGTAAATGCCAGTTGAGTTGGTCCCTACTCATGGAAACCTGTGGAGAACAGAATGAAATACTGCCCAGCCTGGCTCACCATAATCCTCAAGGTAACATCCTTGTTTTTCAACACTTCAAAGAGGTCCCTTCATCCTACTTAACACATATATATCCTCTTGCCAGTAAATTACTATCCATGACCTTTCCACCCCTGATAGTCATACAAGAATGTTTCTTTTATTGTGAAAACCTTATTCACTTTTTTCCCCTTATTCACTTCTTACAATAGTAAACTCATACACTATTTGTCCCTCAGTGATTGATTCATTTCACTCAGCATAATCTCCTCCATGCTCCTCCATGTGATGAGGTGTTTCCCAGATTCATTATTATTCTATAATGTTGTATTATATGTATTATATTATAGAATAATGTTGTGTGTATATATATATATATACACACACACACACAACATTATTGGATTTTGTTTTGAAGTCTGGTTTATCAGAGATTAATATTGCCACTCCTGTTCTTTTTTGATTGCCAGAGGGGGCCAGATCTGACTTCCTCGAGCTTCCTTTTTTTCCCTTATTGGTCTTCCTTTTTTCCCCTTATATATATATGGTTTATATATAAATATAAACCATAGTTAATCTATTCCTTTATGGATAGATATTTAATTAATTTTTAATGCTTTGGGGAATAGTGTTTCCTTGAAATGTTATTATGTGATATCAAGTGGGTTCCATCACATAGTGACTGTATGCAAAATATAACCCTGCTCGGGCCTTCACCCTCCTCACAATTATTCCAATGCTTGAGCTCATTGAAGCTGCCACTTTGTCAATCCATCTCATTGAGCACCATCATCTTCTTTTTTCTCCTCATCTACTTTACCAAGTATGATGTCCTTCTCACGGGACTGGTCTCTCCTGACAAAATGTCCGAAGTAATGAGCACTCCAACCATTTGTCCTTTTAACAGATCGATTTGTCTTTTTAGCAGTCCAGGTTTCTTTCATTATTTTTCTCCAGGTTCACAACTCAAATCCATGAATTCTTCTTCCGTCTTCCTTATTGAATGTCCTTCGTTCACATGCATATGAGGCCATTGGAAAAACCAACATGCCTCGGGGTAGATGCTCTAGTCCTCAAAGTAACATCCTTGCTCAGCAGCAGATTTACCCAGTACAACGAAGCTTTTGATCCCTTGTCTTCTGTTTCTCTGAGCATTGAAGTGGACTCAAGCAAGACGAAATCCTTGACAGTTTCAACCTTTTCTTTGGTTATCATGTTGTTACTTATTGAATCAGTTGTGAGGGCTTCGTCTTCTTCACATTGCGTGGCAATCAAGACTGAAGGCTGTAGTCACTGATCTTCATCAGCAAGTGCTGCAAGTCCTCTTCACAGATGTAGAGTGCCTTGGGAGGAACAGCCGGTGTCAGAAGAGGATACAGGAAGATGGAGAAGAGATGAAAGCCTATCCTCCCCAGCCCCCACCCCCATCTCATGGCAATAAGGAAGCTCGAGGAAGTCAGATCTGGCCCCCTCTGGCAATCAAAAAAGAACAGGAGTGGCAATATTAATCTCTGAAAAACCAGACTTCAAAACAAAATCCATCATAAGAAAAAAAAAAAGTATTACATAAGGATTAAATGGGACAATTGAACAAGATGGCATAGCCATCATAAATATCTACTTCTGAAGTACTTCTTCAGTCATGTGTCCTCCAGATGCCATATCCAACGTACATGATCAAAATTTCACCATCCTCACTACTAAAGAGCTTTCTAAGTGTACTTATAACACAGATTGGTTTATCCTTGGGTTGTCCATGGTGTGTTTAATATTCCTTACTGACACCATAATCCAAAGGCATTAATTCTTCTTTGATATTCTTTATTCATTTTCCACATTTCACAATCATAGGATTTTATTGAAAATATCATGTTTTGGTTAGGTACTTCTTAGTCTCAATAGTAACATCTTTGCTTATTGAAACTTTAAATCTTTTAGAGAAAAATGGTCTAATGCAATAAAACAAAACAGACAAAGAACAAAAATCTCAGTACTGCCATGTTGATTCTGACTCATGGAGACCAGGATAGTGTAGAGCTGCCCTGTGGATTTACAAGACTGTAACTCTTTTCTGGAATAGAAAGCCTCTTCCTTCTCCCACAGAGCAGCAGGTGGTTTTGAACTTC